CTTGGACTCTATCTAGCCAAGACTAAAACAGTTAATACCTTACTGACTATCCATCTTGCTAGTAACAGTACAAACCCTAAACAACCAGCAGAATATGGTACTCAGATTGTGGTACCATCCTATAATAAAAGACCAAAATCTTCTTGGAAAAATCACTCCCATTATAAGGCAAGAAATGTAAAAGATGGAGCTATAATATTGTATCACACGAGAAACTAAAAAATCTCACTCTGTCGCCCAGACTGGAGTGCAGTGGCCGCTCCCGGCCACCTCAGCCTCGACCTACTGGGCTCTGGCGATCCTTCCGCCTCAGCCTTCCAAGGAGCTGGAACTATAGGCGCGCGCTACCACGCCTGGCTAATTTTTTGATGTATTGTAGAGATGAGATCTCGCCAAGTTGCCCAGGCAGGTCTCGAACCCACAGGCTCAGGCAATTCACTCACCTCAGCCTACCAAGGTGCGGGATTACAGGCTGAGCCACCGAGCCTGGTTTACATGAAGGATTTCTAAACGAGGAGATAATCCTGGATAATTTGAGTGATTCCACAGTAATCACAAGGCTTCTTAAAAGAGCAAGATAAGAGGATTAGGGTCAGAAGGAAGAGACACGATGGTGAAAGCAGAAGATCAGAGAGAGGTTTGCTATGCTGTTGGCCTTGAAGATGGAAGAAGAGACCATGAGTCAAGGAATGTAGGTTGCCTCAGAAAGCAAAGAAGCAAAAAAGTAGATTTTTCTCTAGAGTTTCCAGAAAAAAAATAGAGTCCTGTTGATGACTTGATTTTGACTCAGTAAAATAAATTTCAGATTCTGACCTTTGAGACTGTAAGATAATTTTGTGTTGTTTTGAGTCACAAAGTTTCTAGTACTTTCTTGCAACAGAAATAGGAAACTAAGATAGTTTCTCATTCACCAAATATTTGAATTTCAATGAAAATAATAACTGCAATAGATTAAGACAGATCAAATAAATGGACATGAATGAGTTCATAATGATAATAAAAAAGTCTCACCTCATTTCTTGTATTAAAAAAAGGGAAATAAAAGGGAAAAAATGTATTCTGCTTTTCCTATACCAACTATGCTTCAAGAAGCTGAAATAGTGGTGAAGAGGAAGTTTCTATTTATAAGTGTACTCCAGGTAATAAACAAACAGATGATTGACTCCACCATCTTGCAACCCCTAATAAATTAATAGAGCTAGGTCACTAGTTCTCTAACAGCAGTCATTTTGGCAATTACTGGTAAGGAATGGATAATACTATCACCTAGTAGGTAGCTGTCAGGAATGTTGTTAGATAGCCTACAGTGCACAGGATATCCTCCACAATTCATTATTCAGCTTAATATGTCAATAAACATGTATCACTGTTGAGCAACCCTGAGCTAGGCAATATATTAACTGTAACAATCTCTAGAAAAAAGAAACCAAGCATGTGTACCTCTTGCTAGAGGTACATTCGACCATCTGTGAAATGTTATTGCCAGAAAAAAAGTAAAATTAAATTTGATAAAGTCTCTAGATCTAACAGGAAATAGGATTAAAAGAACATGTAAAATTACACTCTAGGGATATCATCAAAATATCCAGACTGCACAGAAAATCCAACTGGGAAGAGCAATGTAGTTTTATTCAAAAAAATTTTCAATAGTAAAAATGGGGAATTGAAGGCGAGCCTATAGATCCAAAGTATCTTCAGAGACAGAGCAGACAACTGCAATATATGGGTCTTATTTAGATTCTTATTTAAACAAATACATATATATATATACATTAGGCTTTTTCAGAAGAACCTTTAGTGGTGCTTTTATGATAACTACTTATTGAGCAAGATTTTATTTTCAAAAATTTTTCAGTGCCTAACTTTAAAAGGAGTTAAATCTAATAGATAAATAAACAATAAAGATTAAAATAGCATCTCGTTTTGCCCCTTAACCAGCAGTATACTCCTCCCTTCTATTGAAAATGGAATTAGGAGGCCGGCTCGGTGGCTCAGCCTGTAATCCCGCACCTTGGGAGGCCGAAGTGAGTGAATTGCCTGAGCCCACAAGTTCGAGACCCGCCTGGGCAACTTGGCGAGATCTCATCTCTACAATAAAAATTTTTTAAAAATTAGCTGGGTGTGGTAGCGCACGCCTGTAGTTCAAGCTACTTGGAAGGCTGAGGCGGAAGGATCACCAGAGCCCAGCAGGTCGAGGCTGCAGTGGCCAGGAGCGGACACTGCACTCCAGTCTGGGCGACTGACTGAGACTCCAACTCAAAAAAAAAAAATGGAATTAGGAAATAGAAATGTCTGTAGTCTCAAGGTGATCTAATTTAATTTACTGAGAATTTAATTTACTAAAAAAATGCAGCCCTGAAGAAAAGCCTATAAATAAAAAAGGTAAAAATAAAAATGTAATAGAAAAATATGAGACTATAACAGTTTATTGCTACAGACCTAATGCCCACTCTTAGCGTTTCTGCTTTCTGAGAAATGAAGGTTTAGATAATTATTCCAGAGAAGAATCCAAACTCATTGAGGTGCTATCTGAAGGCAAAAGATCATGGCATAGCTGATGGAGAAATGTCACAAACACTGTGATCATATGATCAGTTTCAGAAATGAAGATATAGCATCTTCACATATTTACCTCTTTGATGTGTCATGTGTATATTTGTACTTTTTATTAATTTTCTTCTTGTCTCTTTCACATACCATGTACTACAGAGTGTGTTCATAATGATAAATATTTCAATTTAGTAGACAATTTACAGAATAATCAGACAGGATTATAACATTTTAGAAGAAGAATGAGATTCAGACGGGAATTCCGATCTAGAATCTGAAGTGCTTTATCTGAAATCTCTCTTAGATAAAATGACATTACTTTTTCCTTTTCTGTTGCTCCTACCTTAATTCAGATTCCCTTAATGCCTTAAGAATATTACTGGCGCAACTCCCTAACTGTTTTTATTTAATCTTTGTTGCCTCTAATCTTTTCTTTCACTACCTCATTGGTCAGAGAGCTGTCTCAAAAGTGTACAATGTTTCAATCCATACTCCTACTAAAAAATCTTTACTAGCTCCCCATTGCTATCAGAATAAAGGTAAAAGCTAATTAGACATCCAGTCACCTTCATCATCTGATCATGTCTACCCACCTGCTTCATCCTCACTACTTCCTTACTTTTCTCTACTCTGCAACTGACATTTTGTAGACTCTCATACTTGCCCTCATCTCTATAACTTTGGGCAAGTTGTTTCTTGTTTGAGTTTCTCATCATCTGGATATCTGGCTCTCACATTTTTGGTTTCAACTAAGGATCCTTTCATAGGAAGTCTTCTTTGATCATCCTCAACAGGCTTATTTTCACTGTAACACTTTTCATAGTGTATTATCATTACTTAGCTTGACATTCCTAGTAGGCAAACATATTCTTGTCAGGATTGTGTTATATTGACTATTGTGTCCAACAAGCATTCATTGACACTGACACATAATAGATACTCCATTGATAATACTTGAATTAACGTCAATAGAAATGTTCACCAGCATTGACGATTTTGGGGATGCCTGCCTATCTTGAAAAATTTAGGATTATATCGATATTAAGGTAAAATTTCTATGTCAAATAGGCTCTGGATTATAAAGTCTTCAACTCTCTTTGAGCCCTCAGATTCTGTGATGTTGTGTGGACAAATGTGAAGTCAACTGACTTGAAGAGACAAAAAGAGGAAAGAACTTAGACTCTTTAAAAAGAGCGAGAAGACCAAGTTATTATCATATTTCTTTTGTTTTCCCTTCCTTATCTCTTGCCCTATTATTTATTATTCTTCTTTTGCATTATTTAGGAATTACTTCAGGGGTGAGATTCAGTCTCAAATAAGCCCAGGTTATTAGATTCAGAGAGATTCACTATGACCCTGCAGTGCATGTGTGAAAGGGGACAAAATAAGTCCTTAATGTGGAGACTTGAGAGTAATATTTGCATAGCTGAATGACTTTTCCTGATGCCCTAAAATCCATGTTAAAATTGTTTTACCTTTCTTTGGCTTTGGCTGATGAATTTGTCCTTTCTGAGATTAACTATCTCTTTGATATTTTATATATTGTCCTATAATTGATGTGCTTATTCTGTTTCTAAAGATTCAGAGAAATAGTTTATAGATTTTTCAGAAAACAGGCAGTTTTAAAAATTTTCAGTGATACCCCTTATATATGTAGTACAATTTCTCTCAATCTATTGGAATACTGTCATGTAGTACCTGAAACTTAACTTGTCCTTGATCAATAATAATCTTCAGTACAAACAACCAGTGGCTATTACTCTATCAAGGTAAAATGAGCTGGACTCAGTGGCTCAGCCTGTAATCCCAGCACTTTGGGAGGCTGAGGAGAGTGGATTGACTGAGCCTGTGGGTTTGAAACCAGCCTGGGCAACTTGACGAGACCTCGTCTCTACAATTAAAAGGGGGAAAAAAGGTAAAATAAGACCTTTCCCTGATATTTATCTACTGAATTAGCTCCAACACGAAGAGAAAAACATTATGTTCACGTTTCATAGCTCCTAACAAAAATATTTTAATCAGCCTTGACAACAACACTTTTCCCAGAATGTTGATTCACACAATTACTGCTTATGGCTACATGCACCACACATTATTTTAAGTGAGTCTGCAAATGTCAAAATGTTTTTTTGTTCTCAATAGAAGCACTATAACCTTTTTCAAAGTGTGGATGAATTAGTCCAGTGATCCAAGGTAAGAGGGATGAATAGGTCTATAAATACAAACAAAGCGACAAATCAAAACAGTAAGTGGTATTTGTTGTTTAATTATGTCAGGCCATAAAAGTGGAGATTGAAGTGTGGGAAGTTCTATTACAGCTGTACCTAACTCCACAGATCATGCTGCTGTGACAGAAAAATACCTCCACATCCCACACCCCACCCAGCTCAACCACTCTAACTCCTACATGATATTCCTAGTACACATTGCATCTTCTCCTTCCTGGTTGCTGGGGCAACATACTCTATGCCTGTCACATTTGAGTTGGGTGACGAACACTGAGGCAAAGCTCTTTTCTTTAAGTGATGCTCATGAGTCATCAAATTGCCAGTTTTGATGTTAACCCAGAGAATTTCCCTGATAGTTTCTGCCAGGCCCCTTTTACCTCCTTATTCCTTAAACTGTAAATCATTGGGTTCAGCGTAGGTGTCAAAATAGCATAAAAAAGAGAGATCAACTTCTCCTGAAGGACAGAGGGACTTGAGTGGGGCTGGATGTAAGTGAAAATGGCCATACCATAGCACAGGGCAACCACCATGAGGTGAGAGGCACAGGTGTGGAAGGCTTTCTTCCTTCCCTTTCTGGAATGAATCTTTAGGATGGTGGAGATGATCCGGATGTAGGACAAAAGAACCAGGCAGAAGGGTGTCATCAGAAGGACAATGCTAGAGACCATGATGGCGACTTCATTGGAGGAAGTGTCCACACAAGCCAGCCTGACCACAGCCAAGAGTTCGCAGGATATATGGTCAATATATTTGTTAGTGCACATGGGCAGCTGAAAAGTGATGGCAGTCTGCATGAGGGAGTTGATGGAGCCACTGACCCACGATGTGATGGCCAACTTAGCACACAGCCCTCTATGCATGATGGCCGAATATCTCAGGGGGTCACACACAGCCACATAGCGGTCATAGGCCATCACTGCCAATAAAACAAACTCAATCCCACCCAAGGCCAGGGAAAAAAATAACTGAGCTGCACAACTCAGGAATGGGATGACTTTATGTTCTGTAAGAAAATGTACCAGAAGTTGAGGGATTATGCTTGTGGCATAGGAGACATCAACAAAGGAGAGGTTGGTGAGAAAGAAATACATGGGAGTGTGAAGTCGGCTGTCCAGGCTGATCAGAAGAACAATGAGAAAGTTCCCCAGCATGGTCACCAGGTACATCACTAAGAAGAGTACAAAGAGGAAGACCTGAGTATCCCAATCACTGGACAACCCAAACAGAATAAATTCATTCATCCATGTCTGGTTATGTGGTTCCATCAAAAAGTGTGAGACTTATTAATCTGCAAAGAGAGTCAGAAAAAAACTGAAAACTGATGAAAAAGCATAAGAGTAACAGGCCAGCCTTCCTTGGGTAGGTGATTTATGGCAAGATGATAGCACGGACCCAATATGCATTTATTTGCTTTGCATCAGAGAGACAGTCTATTGTCTTCATGAGACAATTTGGTTTCAGGGATATCAGTTAAATCCTGGAGACAGTGCATTGCAGTATCAGGAGTTCCTCATCTTTACCAATTTACCTCGGATTCCAGAGCAGGGAGAGAATGATACATGAAAATGGCAGGTAAAATGACAAGCAATGAAGATTGCAGTTGGAAAGTTAAAGAATTACCTTAAATATGTCAACTAGACCCATCTTGATGAATGTGTAGATCTATTAGAAAAAGAAAAAAATTGAAAGAAACAAAGTCTTGTGAAAAATCTGGAATTAGAAAGTCTAACTTTATTTTTTTTTATTTTTTGTTTTTTAAGAGAACCTAGCTTTAGAATCCAATTTTACTCACTATTATTTAACATAGTACTAGAAATCCTAGTCAGAACAAGAAAAAGAAGTTAGTGGTATCCAAACAGAAAAAGAAGTTAGATTATCCCTCTTCATATATGATATAATTCTATACCTAGAAATTCCTAGACAGTCTTCCAAAAACCTCCTAGCACTGATAAACAACTCTGATAAAGTCTTAGACTACAAAATCAATACAAAAAAAAATCAGTTGCATTTCTATACACCAACAACAAGTGGACTGAGAACCAAATCAAAAACACAATCCCAGTCAAAATAGTCATAAATAAATAAATAAATACGTAAATAAAATACCTCAGTATTTACCTAACCAAAGGAAAGATCTTTACAAAACACTGCTCAAATAAATCAGTGATGACACAAACAAATGGTAGAACATTCCATGTTCATGGATTGGAAAAATCAATAGTGTCAAGATGTTCATTCTACCCAAAGCAATCTATAGACTCAATGAAAATTATCAGCAACATTTTTTCACAGACCTAAAAAAAGAATACTTACATTCACATGGAAACAAAAAAGGAACCCAAACAGCTAAGTAATCCTTAGCAAAAAGAACAAACCTGGTGACATCAACTCCTGCTACAAAACTGCAGTAACCAAAACAGCATGGTACTGGTACAAAAATAGACTCATAGACCAATGAAATGGGAACTTCAGCCAACTTATCTTTGACAAAACCGACAAAAACAAACAATGGGGAAAGGAAACTCTATTTAGCAAATAGTGCTGGGAAAACGGATTAACCAAATGAAGAAGAATGAAACTGGACCCTTATCTATCATCATATATAAAAATTAACTCAAAATGGTTCAAAGACCTAAATATGAAACCTCAAACTATAAGAATCTTAGAAGATAACCTAGGGAACACCCTCCTGGATATCAGCCTAGGCAATTAATTTATGCCCAAGTCCTCAAAAGCAAATGTAGCTAAAACTAAAGTTGTCAGGTGCTGCCTTATCAATTTAGAAAGCTACTGTACAGTGAAAGAAACCATCAAGAGAGTAAAAAGACAATCCACAGAATGGGAAAAATATATGCAAACTATGCATCTGACAAAGGTCTACCATTCAGAATGTACCAGGAACTCAAATAAAATAAAACTTAACCCCATTAAAAAATGGGCACAGGACATGAATAGACACTTCTCAAAGGAAGACATGCAAGAAGCCAACAAACATATAAAAAAATTCTCAGCTTTACTAATCATCAGAGAAATGCAAATGAAAACTACAATGAGATACCATCTCACACCATTAAGAATTATCATTAAAAAGTCAAAAAACAACACGTGTTGGCAAAGGTGCAGAGCGAAAGGAACACTCACATACTGTTGGTGAGATTGTAGGCTAGTTCAAACTTCATAGAAAGCAGTTTGGAAATTTCTCAAAGAACTCAAAACAGAGCTACCATTCAACCCAGCAATCCCACTTCTGGTAATATACCCAGAGGAACATAAATCGCTCTACCAGAAAACCCCCAAAACAAACAAATAAACAAAAAATACCTGCCCACGTATGCTTATTGCAGCACTATTCACAATAGCAAAAAACATAGGATCAACCCTGATGCTTATCATAAGGGACTGAATAAAGAAAATGTACATATATATGTGGAATACTACACAGTCATAAAAAAGAACAAAATCATGTCTGTTGCAGCAACATGAGTACAGCTGGAGACCTTCATTCTAAGTGAATTATCACAGATACAAAAGAACTGAATACTAAGTGTTCTCACTCACAAGGGGTCCTAAACATTGGGCACAAGAATTGCCTAACAGACACTGGGCACTGCTAAAGAAGAGAAGAAGGGATGGAAGACAAAGGATACAAAACCACTCAATTGGTACCAGTGAGGCAGAAACCCAAACCTTGCCTTCAAGCAATATACCAATGTAATGTACCCCATGAGTCTAAAAAATTAAAATTAAAAAAACTGATTTTGTTAGGTAGATTTGTGATGCGAGTTTAATGATAAACTTTTTTTAAATGAAAGAGGATAATATTAAATAACATTCAAGTATATTGAACCTCAAATTTATGTGGAAGTACTTTCTGAACTGTTACTGGTAATAATATGGGCGTTAGTAGTAACATGACCTCTGTGTTGGGGTAGACAAAGTAGCAAACATTATATTCCTCTCACATCCTTTCTACAAATATATTCAAATTAGAGGTAACCTGTAATATAGCTGAGGGTATAGAGATGGCATTGATGCTTTGAGGATTGTGGAGACTGTTGATTTTTTAGTTAACTTTTGTTCTCTTCATTCGTTAGTGGGGTGGGGTAGGGAGGATGCTTAGACTTTGTAATTACAAAGGAGGAAGAAAAAGATGTTTAAGGACTTTTCTTCATTGTTCAAGACTAAAGTAGAAGGTATGAATTCATGTAGATATACTTTGGAATGGAGATTCCTTTATGGTTACTTTTGCTCAGCAAGTAATTTTTCAGCCAAACTATTATATTACAACATCAAATGCGAACATTAAGGAGAAACAAGTTGTATTGAAAAAAAATTAACCACCTTCTTCTTATTCCATGTCTTTCTATTCACTAACTTTTTTTTATTGCAGTGTACAAAATAAGGAAACTTAGGAGAGAGAGGATGCAGGAGTTACTGCAGGAAGAAGCAGAGGTTTTGGTCAGATTAGTGTCTCTTTGCTGAAAGAAAAAGATTGTCAATGCTTCAACCAATTTACCTGATAAAGAATGAAACAAAACACGTGGTTCCAGAAATGTCCATCTCATTCACGCTCAGAAAATCATGTCTGATTTTTCTAAATTGTCTCCTAATCTCCTCCTCATAACCTGCCCTTCCAGCCACCATTTCCTTCTTTACTGCTCGGTCTGATGCTTCCACCACCACGCCTTAGGTTGCTTACCTGAAATTATAATAACCCTGAGAATACATCTGACTGACTCAAAGAAGACACTCAAATTTATATTTTTAAGCCTCAATAAAATATTTTCTTAAAAATCTATCAACTGATATTGAATAGATAATATATTTGCAGTCAAAGTACACATTTCTTTTTCTATTAATTATTCAAATTTCTATGAAGTGCCATCTTTGTGAAATGCTGGGATTTGGCGGTGATTATTAACCTTCCTGTCTTCAAAGCACTGATCCATCTGTGAGGCAAAAGACTCACAGAGAGATCATCACCACCTTATTTGCTCCTCAAGTGCACTGGGCTGTCTGGAGACCACACAAGCCAGTGACTAACTGTACTCTTCTAACCCAACCCACATATCTCTCCAATAGCCCTTGTCTCATTATACATGAGTGACAACGTCATGTCCTAGAGAAAAGTGTCAACCCCAGAGTCCAACAGCTCCCACTTTGGGTTCACATCTGTTCTGTTTCCCAAGACCTGGAAAAAGCTACCTAGGCTCTGTGAGCCTCATATTTTTTAGTCTGTGAAAATCTTCATAATATTGGCTAATTGAAAGAGTCATTGGTGAAGTTAAAGGAGTTAAAGCACTAAAGTTCCTAAAGAAGCAACTGAAACAGCAGGTGCCCATTCATAAGTGATATTAAATAGTCTTCGTTTCATGGTATCTCCCTATCAGGATCTTATTTCTTCACTTATGACTCTTCTCTATCATCCTCAGATTTCTTTTTCTTCCAAGTGGATCATTCTCCCTCTTTATAAAAATATGTACAAATACAGACCTTTCAACATGGGAGAGGAATCTTTGCTATATACTTCCCATTTTAAATCTGTCTTCATTTCACATCTCAAATGATTAATGTTCATTTTATGGATACATTTCTTAACATCCATCTCTTAGCTCATAGAAATTTCCATACTCATTAATCCACAGAATTTGTTATCTTAAAAGTTCCCGATAACCTGCTATCATTAAATCTGAAAAACTTTGATTGCATTTTATTCTTTATCTTTTAACAATGTTAACTATTTGGTCCTTGAAACTCTTGATTTTTGTCAGATACTTCTGTCCTGACCGCCAATGAAATTTTCCTTGTCAGCATTCTCAGCTGACTTTTCTAAATTTTTCTGTTCCATTGCTGTGAGCATTTTCTGTGCTGAGAACTTGTACTTTTCTTTCTGCAGTTTCTTTTTGAAAGACTTGCTATTTCTAACGGCATTAATTATTGTGTATTCTGTGTGACTCACTCTCAATTCTACATTAACCTCCTGGACTTCTTTCTCAAGGATCAGATGCTTATCAAACACCTTAATGAATATTTCCTAAATATCTCACCAATGACTGTGTTCATCACTTCACAAACCAAATCTTTTCTTGATATTTTTATTTCTATCAATGAAATTAGAATTCTCCCACTCTCGTGTTTGATTTTTCCCTCTTCTTCACCACTTCACAGAATAGATCCTCTTCCTTTATTTCTTTTATTGTGTATCTTTCCATCTTTCCCTTTCTTTCATCCACACTTGCCCTTGCCCTCAACATTCTCTTACAGAGAACAGAAGCTTCCTTGTAAAATTTCCTAATGTAACCTCCACTCACTTAAGAAAATTTA